ACTTTGCACCTACGCCTCTAGAGACCACGTCAGCACTTCAGCCTTGTGCTTTCTGCTCTACTCATTCAGGGAGTGCTCACAAAGTGGCTAATGGTTCCCAACAAATGCCACTACTTTATAACCACTGACTATGAACCAGACAGGGCAGATGCTTAAGCGCTTCATGTACATTATCACATTAATTCCTTGCCACCGCTCCTTAAAATAGCTTTGTTGTCCCCACTTGCCAACACCGATTAAGACTCGAAGGCTCACACCGCTCAGCCGGCCCAGGATTTGAACCTACGCTGTCCAAAATCTCTCCACCCACAAAGCTACCATTCCTTGCTCATGCGTAGCTTACAAAAGAACTAGAAAACACCAGGAGGCTCAGGTTGAGTTTCGAGAAACAACCAGAAAACCCTAATTTAATGTACGAACAGGTCTGGGCTACAGATACGTAGTATGCACGTTTTCCGGCTCAGACAACGGGAACACAGGTGACGATGAGAAGGCGGCGTTATTTACACAGGAGCCGGCAGAGAAAACCTCAGAGCTGTCTCTTAAAGAATGCAAGAGGCATAGAATGATGGAGGCCGGAAAACCCAAGCTCGTGGCAAAGGGGACAGGGCACCAAGGAGCAGAAATGACACGAAGCGGGACATGGTTGGTAGGCTAGCAAGCTGATGGTCTCACTGTCCTGGGCTCACTGAGTGGAATGAAGTGTGAGGTCCTCAGCTTTGCCCAGGCGGGATGTCTGAAGGGGACATCTCACAGTTATACTCGGTATCGTAGAGGGGAAAAAAAAAAAAAAAAAAAAAAAAAAAAAAAAAAAAAGAAAACTCCTTCTAGATACCGGGGAACCAATGTCTAATTTGAGCTCAGATTTCTGTGCAGCACTTTTTAAAAACTTCTCATCCACCGAGCCCTCTTTGGTTTATCTTGCCTCTGCGTCTGTTTTCCCTCCGTCTGTCTTTGACGCTCTTCAGTTGCCCCTAATATATTTAGCCGACTTTTTCCAGGAAAGAATTAGGTTTCTGCCAAGTGACCAGTTCCAGCCTCTCTCACCCTTTCTCTCCCAGTCTCACCCCCTCTCTGCATCTCTTACTTACTTCTTCAGAGTTTCTTCCCCTCTCCTCCCCTGTCTGACTCGATTCCTTTCCTTTCCGGTGGGCACTGATACTCCTTTTTTCTTTGCTTCTTCCTCCCACCCTTACGTGGTTTTT